GAAGGCACATCATAGAACAGAGCAAGGTGAGCATTTGCGCTTATAAAACTTTAACTTTTTTTTTTTTAAATGACCGCTCGTTTCGCTAGATAAGACCCTTATTCATCGTCTGGTGTCGTTTAAAGCCCTTTGAAGCTGCACTGAAACTCTCATTTGGACCTTGAACCGTTTGGTTCCCAATGAAGTCCATTATATGGAGAAAAATCCTGGAATGTTTTCATCAAAAACCTTCATTTCTTTTCGACTGAAGAAAGAAAGACATGGACATCTTGGATGACATCGGGGTGAGTAAATTATCAGCAAAAGTTGTTTTTTTTAAAGTGAACTACTCCTTTAACGTCTCATCGGTGTAATGCAATGTAAAAATCTATAACGTCCGACTCACCCAATGCTTTTCGACAGCCTTAACGCTGGTATAAGTTTCTCGACCTGCTTGTCTGTTAGTTTGGCTCTATATAGGTTCATGTACTCCATCTCTCCCATGCAACTCACTACATATGACAGCGCTGCGCAGTCGGGCTCCTGCATGTCACCGTAGCCGATATGCCTCCATTGGCTCTTACTGATGCTTTCTCTGACCAGAGACGAGTTACGTGCATGTTGCAGAAGCCGAAAAACAAGAAAGTGCTTTGTCGCACCACAACGCCAATCTGGCAACACCTTAGAAACATATCCCATCAACCACTGAGAGAACTCAGAAATCCGGGTTTCATCGAACCTGCCCATGGAGTCTTCCATCGGTTTACGCTGGACCGAGTCCGACAGCCCTGCTAGAAATGTGTAGTAGAAATCCGAGCCCTCGTCCGAGATCTGCACGGATTGGTCGAGATAAAAGGACGCGGCCAATAAGAACTCTTGCATCATTGGAGACAGGAAGGAGAATGTGCTATCAGGGGAAGTGACATCACCATTGAAGCACAAGAATTTAGAAAGCACAGGCTGCTGCAGAAAAGAACGCAGGCCACAGGAAGTGACGTCGTCGTAGGAGCAAACCGGATTGGTTAGTTTCCCCAAACCTAACACAAGCTCTCTGGTTTCTTCTGCATGCGTCTTCTGTTTCTGCAGGAGCATGTGTGTTATGATGCTGAGGAGGTGAGTAAGAGTCTCGGGTGGGGTGCTTTTACTCTCAAACACACTGCAAAGCGTCCAGCAGAAGGCCGGACGAAAACACTGCTCACACACTCCCAACGCCTGCTCGCTTTGCTGAAAAAGTCTCTCTGATAGGCCCGGGTCATGGAAGAACTTCTGGAAGAACATTCTCCTTTGGGTTTGGGAGAACCCGACCACCTCGAAAGATCTCAAAGCCTCGAGCTTGACTGGCTCTCTTGACGTGATCAGCATTGAAGCTCCAGGAAGCAGAGAACTGTGAAGAAGACTGCACAGCAGCACAGAGCCGGTCGCTTCTTGTCGTACGTCACAGACGAGACCAGAGGAGGACGATGGGGTGCATAGAAGGTCCTGCGATTGCTCCAGCCCGTCGAGCACCAGAAGTAAAGATTGAGGACTCTCTAGGGCGACGGAAAGAGTCTCGGCGGAGATCTGAGAGTGCATGCGGCACAACATGCTCTGCAAACTCGTAGGTTTCCCTCCAAGAGCGGCCAGCTCCAAAACAGGCACTCGCAGAAGGAGCGCATAATGTTGCAGGCGCGTGCCCGTCGCCCAATCCCAAATGACCTTTTCCACCACTGTAGTCTTCCCCGTCCCAACTCCACCATGAAGAACCACTCTGCGGCCTTCAGATCCTGGAGGAAACTCTCGAGATATGACATCCTCAAAAGATTTCCAATGGCCTCTGTTCACCCTACCGTAGCCATCACGGTCCGGACACACTGAGAGGGGAGTGTAGTGGCCTCTCTGGATCACCTCTCCCACAGGCTGACCTCCCAAAAGAGAGCTGGGCAGAGTGGAGTTCAGCACAGAGTTTCTCAAAGCCTCCTTATACAATTGCTGCACGTCTGTGGAAAGAGTATTATACACTATAAAGGAAGTACTTGATTACATCACAATATCTATCTATCTATCTATCATTCGCTAGTTCTATCTATCTATATTTCTATCTATCACTCTATCTTCACTTTTAAAAAAACTTTTGCTGATAATTTCTTCAGCCCCATGTCATCCAAGATGTCCATGTCTTTCTTTCTTCAGTTGAAAAGAAATGAAGGTTTTTGATGAAAACATTCCAGGATTTGTCTCCATATAATGGACTTCAATGGGAACCAAACGGTTCAAGGTCCAAAAGACAGTTCCAGTGCAAACTGCAAACTGTTCAAAGGGCTTTAAACGATTTCAGACGATGAATAAGGGTCTTATCAAGCGAAACGATCACTCATCAAAAGAAATAAAAAAGTTTACGTTTTATAAGCTCAAATGCTCGCCTTGCTCTGTTCTGTGATACGCGTTCGTGACCTGTTGGAACTCGTTTATCAAATAGAACAAATCTTTTTTCGTGTCATTTGGTTCATTCAACAAACAAAATGAATGAGTTGACTCAGGAAAAGATTTGTTATTGATAAGAATAAGATTTGTTATTGTTATTTTCAAATGCCAGCGCTGGCTTTATAGCCACTACTAGTTAGCCTATGCTATTTTGTGTCCACGACAAACTCGTACAAACATTATGGATCTTAATTTTCTATAAGTACTAATGTTTTAAACGTATTTTTCATGTATGCTTTATGACGTTATTTTCGATTTGATCAAGAACGTAAACATGCCAACGCTGTTTGAGTATGACATTAGTAGCCAGTCAGTTGCTATTGTTGCCAGTCAGATGCTATTGTGTAAAATAAACGTGCAAAAAGTTAAAAAATGTAGCAAATTATCATTCAGAAACGTTTATTAAAAGCCGTGTGTGGTGAGGTTCTGTTTGACTCTCTTCATCGCGGGTTTCTCGGCCTGATTCTCTGCCTCAAACAGATACTGCAGTTCGACACATATTTACATTCTGGTCTGGACCGGAGCTCACGTTCCGCCCGTAAAGGTAATGTGCGTTAAACCTTCCGGACAACGTGAGAGACAGTTTAGCCAATCACAACACACCGGGCCAAACTAACCAATCTGAGCCCACTACGTTTCTCTGAGGGAGTGTTTTCATAGAATCAGGAAGTCAACCGCTCTTTCAGGGGACAGAGGAGAGCGCGGCTGACAATAAAGCTTAAGTTTATGAAAAATAAGACTTTTAAAAAAAGAAAAAACAAGAATACATGTTATATTGCACCCCATAAATACAATTATGCAAAGAAAAAAAGCAGTCAACCCCTCCTTTAAAGCCCTTTGAACAGTTAGCACTGAAACTGTATGTATTATTATTATTATATTATTACACAAATGTATTATTTTTAAAATCCAAGACGTTGAAATTTACTGATCTGGTTTATGTTCAAACAGCACAAATAATGTATAAAGCAAAAAATAACCTACTCCCTGGTAATATTCAACAACTGTTTTTTAATAGAGAAGGGAGATATAATATTAGGGGTGAGAGCAACTTTAAACAATTATGTGTACGTACAACATTAAAAAGTTTTTGTGTTTCGATATGTGGAGTGAAGTTGTGGAACAGATTAAGTTCAGTACTTAAACAATGCCCAAGTATGACTCAATTTAAAAAGCATTGTAAAAATATTATATTTGAAAGGTATAGAGAGGATGAAGATTATTAGTTAGGTGATAGTTTATTAATATATTTTTCTCTCTCTTATTATTATTAATAGTTTTTATTTATTTTCTCTTATGTAATTTTTTTTTTTTGAAGATGTATATACACATAGGTAGATATGTATGTTGTTTTTGTTTTTGGTGTTTAGAGACAAATAGATCAAAATATTCGGTCAACCGGTTAATTAGTTATAATTAGTTGAAGATGGGGTAGGATTGAATAAGCTTATGCTTCTTCCTACTCCTTTTCGGACATGTATAAGTTAAAAAAAAATTTGTTTTTTTTTCCTTTTTTTTTTCTACATGTTCGAAATAAAAACTTTTCATTCATTCAAAACTGTCTTTTGGACCTTGAACCGTTTGGACCCCGAACCGTTTGGACCCCATTGAAGTCCATTATATGGAGAAAAATCCTGGAATATTTTCATCCAAAAAAAAAAAGTTGAAAATTTCTTTTCAACTGAAGAAAGAATGACATGAACATTTTGGATGACATGGGGGTGAGAAAATTATCAGCAAAAGTATTTTTAAAAGTGAACTACTCCTTTAAAATTCACACTCCACTTCCTGTAGCATGTCTATCTGACTATCATGTAACAGCTAAACATCACACAGCCTGGGGTTTCAGACTCAAAACTGAAACTATTCTTGCTCACCAATCTCGCTCTGCATGACTGGAGATGTTGATATCGTGGGATTTTCTGATGTTCTAGCCTGTCTAGTAGTGTTGTGTCTCTAACAGGCTGGTCAGTCGTTGCTCTCGTCAGTGGGGAATGAGGAAGTGAGATGTGTTTGTTTAATAAGACCCCTTCCTATACAAAAAAAGTTGTAATTGTTGACACCTGATATTTGCCTATAATGGCGCTGCTGGTCAGAACAAAGTTTTCTAATGTCTCAGTTATCTGGGCCATAAACTGATCAACAGAAGAAAAGCCTGATACAAAATAGCACTTGTGTGTAAAACATAAAACATTCTAGTTTTTTATGTAGATCGTCAAGGCGGCGCTTACAAGCGCGGAACCAAAAATAAGTTAAACAGCGCCATCTCTTGACAGATTACATTTTAACGCGCCAAACGTTTAATTTATATGCTTAATTTATATTTTTTTTCCCTTTTCTTTTTGTCGAGTTGCTTAATGGTGTTGTGTTTATTTTGTAAAGGTGCTTGTAAGGAGGTGTTGATTACTTTTTTTTTTTTTTACTTTCCTTGGAATCTTATCAAGCCATTTTCTCTCTCTCTGAAAACAGGATGACAAACTATGCTTCATCCCTGTATTACTGTTAAGACTATGACATGAGTAAAAAAAAAAATCCTGGAGTAAAAAACACGAAAAGAATACTTAAGGGGGAAAACAGTATTTTTTAATGAACATTTTATAATTGTACATACAGTTTGGGAGTTATTGTCAAAATTTCACCAGTAGTAAGTCAGTCAGGTCACTGGAAAAGCACTACAGCCTTTGGAACGTGGAAAAATAGCAACGGTCATTTACGGTTATTTTCCATAAACATATTTGACAATAGCATGTATAGTATGGGGGTTATTGTGGAAATTTCACCTGTAGTAAGTCAGTCAGGTCACTGTAGTACTTTTATGTTTTTATAAAAAACATAAAAGATGGCCTAGTATAGCCATTCTTCATTATTCAACATCTGGAGAACACTGTAAAGTCTTTATTACACTTTAAAAAAGAAAAACAGAGGTGGATAAAACAGCAAGACATGGGCTGTAGGATGTTCTGTAGGGTCCAGATAAGACGATCCAACTTGCTTTGAAACAGTCGGTCCATGCTTGCAAAACCTATTGAAATAAATCATATGTCATTATTAAAACCAACAGCAACATGTTCATTTTGATTTCAGATAAATTAATATAAACAGTTGTAAAATTAAGCGATTAACTATTCAGGAGCTTACACATGATTTTCTACAGGCTGGATTGTTACCAAATTACAGTTCATGTACACGTTACTTATCTACTAAACACCTTTTTAAACACCATCATTATAATGCAGTTTTTATTGTTGCTAAAGGACATGCTATAGCATTAGAACACATAATGTTAGAGATATTTGCTGGTACATCTGTAGTTGGCCAAAATGTAGTCTAAATTGTCTGTTTGTTGCACACAATGAAAAAAAAACTTTTTTGACGGTCCCTATCTTGTTCACCACACTACATTAGACATTAGCAAGTATGTATGCCTTTAAAACAACACTTGCCCATTTTGATCGACTGAGGAAATGTAGTAGTTGACCACCATCTTCCATCTTTGTTGTTAATATCATGTAACTTAGCTGCTTAGAATTAGCAAAAACTAGCTTTATTGCACGTAGTACTATTTAAAAAGTGTGAATGAGCGAATATAAGACCAACTTTACCTAAGTTGCCATTTGTAGCTTCTTTTTCCTAGTTGTAGTGGAGATGAGTGAAACCCGGTGGCTGTTGTAGTAGCCCATCCGCCTCAAGGTTGTGCGTGTTGTGGCTTCACAAATGCTTTGCTTCATCCCTTGATTGTAACGAATAGTTATTTCAGTCAAAGTTGCTCCTCTATCAGCTTGAATCAGTCGGTCCATTCTCCTCTGACCTCTAGCATCAACAAGGCATTTTCGCCCACAGGACTGCCGCGTACTGGATGTTTTTCCCTTTGCACACCATTCGTTGTGAACCCTAGAAATGGTTGTGCGTGAAAATCCCAGTAACTGAGCAGATTGTGAAATACTCAGACCAGCCCGTCTGGCACCAACAATCATGCCACGCTCAAAATCGCTTAAATCACCTTTCTTTCCCATTCTGACATTCAGTTTGTTGTTGTTCTTCTTCTTATGTCTATTGGCGCCAATAGCAACCAGCTGCAGACCCGCAACACCACCAGTTTCAGAACCCCAGCGCCAGAACCGGAGTTTGGGACAGAGCTTCCGTTGTAAACACCAGCGCTAAGACCGGAAGTGAGGGCGGAGCTGACGTTATAAACCGAGTAACGCCACCTAACGTTTTGGAGCGGACACAAACCTCATACTTTATTCGTATGTGATTGAGTATGTGTCAATGATACATTGAGGTACAGTACAATACGTATTTTAAAACATTAATTTATTGTAGTATAATTGTATACCGTTCCTAATGAAACGCGCATGATTAATCTTGCCAATTTCCTTCTCTATTGCTTTCGTAATATGGACTGGAATTTGGATGTAAATCTGGCCCTCCCCTTGTTTTGATCAAATACTTGTTGATCAAACTGCTTGTTGCTAGTGACCTCATCCCAAAACGTTATAAAAATCCCATCAGATCATGTCTCAGCCATTGTCCAAATTACATTCACTGTGAATAGTTTATTTGATTTTACCATCGGTGTTTCACTAGAAAACAAAACAAAAAATGTATAAATAAATCAAAATAAATAACGCTTAGTTCCACTCCAGTTGTCTCGACTTCACATGAGCCGGTGCTGTGCTTCCCGTCCGACTGCATCCGACATTCAGTTTGGAGTTCAGGAGATTGTCTTGACCAGGACCATACCACTAAATGCATTGAAGCAGCCATGGGATTGGTTGATTAGATAGTTGCATTAATGAGAAATTGAACAGATGTTAATAATCCTTTAGGTGAGTATATGGCCTATATATGACCTTCATATTACAAAAAAAAGACATGTGCTGCTTGTAATAAAACATTGAGGACATTTAATTATTTATTTTTGCAATACCAAATAACATTGAGGACATTATTTTCTTCCTTTTGTCATTTGCCCATTCTTGAAGTCTTCACTCAGCAATGACAAGCAGTGGTTGTTTGATTGACATGTGATGTGTAGACAGTGGGATTCTTGCTGTTCATTAACGATTATGGACTGGATAAATGTTTACATTGGATTCCAGTCCAAGCCTGATGAGAGAGAGGTTGGATTTGAGTTATTAACTGAAACAATAATATAAAAATACTACAACATTTTTTTTAAATATAATCAAACTTTATATTAAGCGCTCGGTTAATTGCTTAAGCTTTACAGTTTCACCTGTTCTCTTCTCCTTCCAGTAGTTTTTTGTAGGTGGCGATCTCGATATCCAGAGCCAGTTTGACATTCATCAGCACCTGGTAGTCATGGAGATGTTTGGTCATTTCCTGTTTGGCTTTCTGCAGTGCGTCCTGCAGTGATCTGATTTGTTGTTTGGCGTCAAGCACCGCCTCCTCACCACAACGCTCCGCCTCTTCAATCTGCCCCTCCACTCTCTCACACTGTAATGACATCACAACTACAGTACAACTCATTTAAAATGAACTTACAGAAAGTTATCAATGCGTTTATTGAAGATGCTCATGGTTGCCCTAGTGTTCAAATGCAGACATGATCAGTTGCTATAGTAGAGTATTATCTGGATCAGTTACCTGGGATTTAACTGAAGTTATGTCATTTTGCAGTCGCATGATTTGCCTTTTCAAATCAGCTATTGCACCTGTATTGTGTTTCAGCTCAGTGTTGCACTGGTCAGCCTGTGATGAGATCATGTGCAACTGTGGAGGAAAACACAGGTATATGCACAATTACTGAGGTTATGTAATATATATATATATATATATATATACACGCACATTATTGGAATTATTATGATAATGTTTTTTTTTTTAAAGTTTGTATGTGCTCATCAAGGCTGCATTTATTTGATCAAAAAAAATCATATTAGTGATTTCTGAAGGGTCATGTGACACTGAAGACTGGATTAATGATGCTGAAAATTCAGCTTTGATCACAAGAATAAATTACATTTTAAAATATATTTATATATAAAACAGTTATTTTGAATTGTAATAATATTTCACAATTTTTATCATTTTTGTTTGCCTTCATGAGGTTCTGTGGTGTGACAAATTTTCAACAATAAAAATATGCTATGTAATATACTCATTGTTTTACAAATTGTTTTAGATGTGTGTAGAGTAAAATAATATTTTTCTTACGGAAAACATTATGTAGGCCTACCTGCTTTGAAATAAAGAGTTGGATAATACAAAATACGTTGAAAAAAATAGTTGTAGATGAATTACAGCATGACACATTGCAAAGTAACTGAATAAAGATTTGTTTACACTAAATAAATAGTAGAAATTACAATAAAGGAAAAAAAAACATTTGATTCCAATAAATAATAACACAGCTGGAATATTATATTTCCGTGGCAAGATTAAAATTTTAAACCGCTTGAACCTTCATTTCAACTGCTTAGAAATGAATACATACATATTTATAATAGGCTAAATGTAAATACCAGCTGTTTCAAAAGTCTAAAGTCTGTAATTACAATAGTTTAAAACATGAGAACCTCCCGGAAATAACAGATCTCAAAGGCTCAGAGATTAAATGCAGCGTCCTGTAAATGGAGATTTTGTTTAACGCTTCAGATTCTCAGATTTTTTTCTCATGAGAAACAGCCCCAATAATCTCATGTTTCTCCTCAATTACATCTCTTTCAGATTTGCCAAGATACCCAATTCTGTAATGGGAAGTCCGAGATCTGATCTTCACCTTGTTCTTATACCAGGCCTCCACTTCCTTTCGGCTGCATGCTGATATCTCCTCATACTGGCTCTTCACATCAGAGATGATGTTCTCCATGTTCAGCGTCCTTCTGTTGTCCATCTGCACTACAACAGGCGTGTCCTTCACTTCAGTCTGCAGCTCTTGCAGTTCCTACACACACACACACACACAGAGAGGGACAAGATTCATCTCAGGACGTTTAGGTGTTTCATTCATGTTTCTGAGCTTGAATTACCTGTTCATAGAAGCACTTGAAAAAGTTCAAGTCACCCAGGATTCCTGATATGTTCTCCTCCACTGCATTTTTACACAAGTACGTCGTGTCCACATCCTGTCAGGGCATTTACTCTGGTTAGCTTGGCAGATGCTTTTTGCAAGCAAACGACTAATGTTAGACAGTGTTGTATTGACCATCAGGGCTGTGGCCTCAGTTCACAGGGCCTGGGACGCTCCTGGAGCTCATATACAGTAGAGGAGGATGGCTCTAGAAACATATTTTGATAAAAGTGTCTGCCAAATGCAAACAACAGCCCTGATGATCCCTTCTTTTTTTTACATCAGACATTAATCATGTTATCTATCTTCTGTACCAGATTTGTCTTACCTTCTTTAGAAGAACAAAGTCATTTTCAGCTTTGTGTCTGTTATTAATCTCATCTTCATACCTGTAAAAGCATATATACATGTTAACTTCACTCAGTGTTTTTGTTGTTAACTAAAATTGAAATTGAAACAAAATACTAATCTACGTATATAAAAATTAGATTAAAAACTTAAACTTGGCAACAAAAATGTAAAATGTTGCCTTGGCAACTAACTGGACTATGTTTTATAATGATTAAAGCTAAACTAAAATACAAATAAATGAAAGCTAAATGGAAATATAAAAAAACTAGTAAAAAAGACCAATCATACAACAGAACCTGTAAATTTAAAAATAAAAGCTCATCCAAAATATTAATAAATAATACTGAGCTTATAAATCATGTTAATTAATAAATACATACTAACAAAATATGTAGTTTGCTCAAACATAATCACTATGGTTGTTAATCTTAAATAATAATAAAGTATGGATTTTCAACAATGTAAGAATGTGTCAGAATCTTCCTGTTGTTTTAATTAATTTACCTTTTTCGACGAAAGGGATGGTTAATTTACTGCAGTAAAATTACTTACATTTGTCAGATCCTTATCATATTGAATTCTTAACATATTCTCATATTTGGCATACATTTAAGTGAACTAATTACCTGTGGTATTTTGTCTAAAACCCCTCGGAAATGGTTGTTAGGAATGTTGTTGTTACTCTCTTTCACATAAAGGTTCCACATTGGGTTTTCACAGCGATGCATTAGAACTATTTTTTTGTTCCCCAAAGAACCTTTCAGTGAACAGTTCCAAAAATAACTTTTTTTGTTTTTATTTACATTAAAAAGCATTTTAACAACATTCTGAAGAACGTTATCCATTTTTGGGGGGATGTTAAAGGTTCATAGAAGAACCAAAGATGCCAAGAAACAGTACATGATTTTACATTTGAAATGATATTGAGTCGAATTTTGATATTATTATTATTGTGAAGAGAAAAATACTCCGCTGCTTATTACGGTTTGAAACTGAACAGTGTCTGATTACAGACCTTTGTTTTTCTTCCTCAACCTGTGCGTGTGCATTCCTGAGCTCGTCATCCAGGTGTTCCCTGTCTGTCTTCACGCGCTCCAGCTGTTCCTGTAGGGATCTGATGTAAGACTTCAGCATGGGCTCCAGTTTAGACTCGGGGTTACACTCTTTCTGTAGCAGCTGCCATTTAGTCTCCAAAATCTTGTTCTCTTGCTCCAGCTTACGAACCTGCGTGTGTTTATGAGAACTGAGTGTTCATATTGCTCTTGTAACTATTATGTTTCATTGAAGGATCAAAGCAGGTAAGGCACTAAGCAGTAAGGCAGAGAAATGTCTCACCCTGTCGATGAAGGTGGCAAAGCGATTGTTGAGGGTTTTGATCTGTTCTTTCTCCTGGATCCGCACAGCCTGCAGGTCGGGGTCCAGCTGGAGGTCCACGGGGGTCAGGAGACTCGTGTTTACGGACACAGCCTGGATGGGGAGCACAACCGGTGGCACGTTCCCATAACCGAAGTACGAGTTACCCTGACGGGGGTATGAGCCCCATGAGCGGCTGCTGAAGCCATTATTAGACGCCATTATTACCAGATAGAGATGGAGAGATCATGGAGAGGTGTGTTGCAGAAGGAACTGCTGGGGAGCTCGGCAACTTGACTGCTGACAGCTGGGCGGGTGTGGGTGTGTAAATGATGAAATAGCTAGCCTATACCAGCATTCCTCACGCTGAAAAACCTGTTCATGTTCAACCCATTACTCGTTCAAAGGAAACACTCCACATTCATGCACTGACACAAACTAAAATGACAAACATGCAGACTATTGTTTCTGTTTCTAGATAGCCTATACGGCCTACCTTACGGGTGTAACGATGCCCTCGTGTCACATATCACAAAACTGAACTAAGATACGATATTATTGCGATACTCCAAGATATAAAAGGTTAACAAAAAAAATGTATTGTTGTTTATAATGCTAACTTTTGTGGGTTTGAAAAGATACACATTGCGATATATTGTGGGGTGATATATTTGTTACACCCCTAGCTGCAATATTATATAAATGTACTTTGTCAAGTATTTCTTTATTTAGTGTGATTTGTGGTGTGTTTTTGTCCGGTTTGTTCATAAACAATTAGATCATTTAAAGGGGTCATGACATGAAATCAAATTTGCCTTGATCTTTTGACATACATAGGCTACAGTAAGAGGTCTTTGTACCATAGCTTAAGACATCCTCTTCATAATAAACAAACCATTTTTAATCAATATATTTTTGATCATGAATATTTATATAGCGCTTTTCACAATATAGATTGCATCAAAGCAGCTTCACAATATCAATCAATCAAAAAAACAAACAAACAAAAAACACACATAATAACAATGTTCGTTTCTTAGGATCTGTGACGTCATGTGCATATGCCTGCCCCATTCAAGCTTAATTTTGAGTTTAATGAGAAATTAGTTGTCAGCACGTATTCAAATAAATATCTAAAGAAAAAAAATATTCATTGATATATTCATAACCTTTAAAAATATTCATAACTTTTAATGTAATCTTTTTTTAAGTTTGTATTATTCTTATATTTACAAAATATTTTTTATAACAAAAATGAACACGTTAAAATACTTAAATAATAAATTCCTCATTTAGAGTAGCATCAGCATGAACTGTAACAGAATTAATATGGCATATAATTTGTGGGTGATAAATATATTTCAGTCAGGCAGTATATTCCAAAACAATCCATGAGATGGCGCTGTTGGGACGCACGCAAAGCTCGGCAGAACGCACACAAATCTGCTTCCTGTTTACGTTTGCTGAGCACTTTCAGTACGAGAATAGACAGCAAAAAATCTCGAATCTCACCTGGAAACAGGCTCCGCGTTTGCTTTTCCACAACCGTCTCTGCCCGTGCACCTGTAGCCGATCCTGTCTGTTAGACAGGCCGTTTCAATGCATTTCAGAGTAGCTTTACCGCCGCGCAGATGGACGCCGTTGATCTGTTTTCAAGCTGCAGAAAGGGCGACATTGCCAGAGTGAGGTCAGACAGCTGATGGCTTGTTGTTGTTGTTTTGTTTTGAAGTCTTTCCACGATGTGAACACATATCCACGGCCTATTTATTCTCAAAATATTATATACAGAGCAAATATACACGTTACGTACAAGACAATATGCCTAGCCTACATAAACTCTAGATTTTGATTTATTTGTAACCAAGTGTCCATGGGATATAGTCTGTAGATACAGTTTAGTCATACCTAAACAAATATACATTACTTGTATAGTCTTTATATATTAATTATGTGTATCTAAACAAAAGTCCATGGCCTCTAGTCATACTGTATTCATTTCTATGCATATCAAAATAAATACGTTTCGTATCTAGACACTATATGCTTATCTCAAACAGCCTATGTAGTTTCAGATACTGTATAAACAAATGTGCATGACCAGTGTTGTCTTTAGAGACTGTATATGCACATGCAACACAAACAATTTGCAAATCCATAGTGTTTGGAAACTGTATGCATATATAAGCAACTGCATGGCTTATAGTATATTATTTAGTAACTAGTATGTGCATTCAGTTGCTACTAGTTAAGATGCTGTTTCATTGCAATATAGAATTACGCTTGACTAGCATCTTTGATTGAAATATATGCTTTGCTTGTAACATGATAATATACCAGGGTTGTTTTTCAGTGTCATTCCGTTGTTTTATTACATAATAAGAAGGAAAAGCATGTGAGGGTGACAGATGACATGTCACTGTATTGGCCCACATACAGTATTACTGTTCTTAGTCTCTTCTAAGTACAGATTTCTTAAAGAGATACTCCACCCAAAAATGAAAATCCTGTCATAATTTACTCACCCTCACGTTATTCCAAACCTGTACGAGTTTCTTTCTTCTGTTGAACACAAAAGAAGATATTTTAAAGAAAAATACGACAATTTTCATTTTAGGGTGAACTATCCCTTTACAGCGTGTGTGATTCTCTCAATTATTATGTTGTTTGGTTGTAATGTATCTGGTCACTGCTTTTTTCTCCAGATACCTGGTTGAACAAAGAGATGTAGAGCTGAACATCAGAGATAAGTGGGACAGCACACCTCTGTAAGACGGCTCGCTTATTTCCGTTTACTGTCTGCCATGTCGGTTTTGATGAAGCCACTGATATCTTTCTGTCATTGTCTTCAGGTATTATGCATGTCTCTGTGGACATGAAGAGCTGGTCCAGTACCTGCTTGCCAACGGTAAATGCTATAACGATTACTCATAACTAACCAGGTAGTTGTAATCTGTTCAGGTTTTAATGATTAGGATACAAAATAAAGCCTGAAACTATGGGATCTTGTTCCCTCCACGGAATACAAAAAGGTAATTGCGACTTTTAATCTGCTGACTTTTTTCTCTGAAGTTTATGTCTTGCAATTTGGACATTAGGGTTGTGCCGATAGACGATAGTATCGTGTATCGACGATAGTCTGACATATCGCCGATGGCAGCTGCCTTTGACGATATCAATACGATAATTGTCTCGTTTTACCATAATGTATTAAATTATTATTATTAGGCCTATTATTATTATTATTATTATAAAGCTAGTATTGTTATTAAATGAATATTAGGAACTACAATTAATTTGCCTTGCCTAAATTTACAACGACATCACCTCATAACAATTGCAACAACACACGCACTAATGAGGACTCCTAGAGAATGTTTTTAAAACAGACTAAAAAACATCCCAATTTCACATAAAACATCAAAATTTAATTGCAAGGTGATCCATTCACAAATTATCAAGTGTGCTCGTTTTAACAGACGCAAAATTCAATTTCCTACAGATCCAAGATGAAAACGGCATCGTTGTTCGTCAGTATTTGTTTCCGTAACACATTAACAAAACGTTTAATGACACTAACACTAAAAACAATACAATTACTAAATAGTATTAATAATAATATCACTAAAATAGTATTATAGTTACCGTTATCATCGTCGTCTCTGAGGGAACGCGGCGTTAATGCAGATGCCGAAAGCAGTCCGTTTTTACTTTCACTTTCAGAGATTGAGCGCGCTTACATGCGACGACGTTCTTAACCTGATTATGTTGAATAAACTTGACAATGCATGTGGTCATGTAAACGTTTCCTTTATCAGAGTCAAGTCATAAGTATATAAGTATAAACCGATCGACTCAGCTAGACGTTTGGCCCTTGCTCTTGTTTCTCCATTTCTCCTCATTTAAAACACATTAACCCGCGTACTTCGTGCTTTTTAAGTGCGCATGTGAAGTGCATCTAGACAGAGAGCGCACTGGTAGGGGGACACATATCGCAAACTCCGACTTTTTCTGACCCAAGAAAGTATTAAAACGTGTTTTCATCTCGTGCAGAAATAGGCCCTAGTCAAAATGCTGCATGTAACGGCATGAGGATAGGCTAATGTGTCCGTAAATTTCCCGTTGACAAAAGGATTAGGATCTTCTTTTTTTTTTACCTCACTATACCAGGAAATAACCTGATCCTATTAATAAACACTCCACCTTTGCTAGCAAAATAGAAAAAAGATTCTCGTATATAAAACGAAGTAGGCTAATAAAACAAGCAAATTAATGAGTAGGCTGAATAATCAAGTTAATAATCAAATAAGTTAGCCCCGCCCCCTCACGATAATATCGTGTATCGCCGATCTCACAGGCTGACGATAGGACGATATGAAAATGGAGCATATCGCCCAACACTATTGGACATTATAACTAGGCTCACAATAAACAATTGTGAGTTTATATCTGAGAAAAGTTTATAATTGCAAAATATATAGGATTTATATCCCCGGTTTCACAGACAAAAGACTAAAATGCATGTTTGAGATGTTTTAATTGAAAGCAACTTGCTTTTGTTTTGTTGTTTTTGACATGGTTTTATTTCGAGATGCACACCAAAATGTTTTTCTAAGGTGTTTATGAAAGCTACTTAAATGTCGTAATTGTTTTTTTTTGTCAAAAACCTTTTTTATGATTTATTCCATGGCAGAAACAAGCTTCCAGATAAAAATTAAAATAAAAAATACATTTTTAGTAGGGCTGTGCAAAAATTAATTGCGATTAAGCGCATCCAAAATAAAAGTCTGTTTTTACATAATATATTTGTGTGTGCTGTATATAATTATTTTGTATATATAAATACCTATGAATGCATGTATATATTTAATAATTATTTGCGCTTAAATATATGTATATAAATACATAATCTATATTATATAAATATAAATATTTTATATATGAATAACACATTTTCTTAAATGTATACATGCGTGTGTAGTATTTATATATACAAAATAATTATATACAGCACACACAAATATATTATTTAAACACAGACTTTTATTTTGGATGCGATTAATCGCAATTCATTTTTGCACAGCCCTAATTTTTAGTGATGTTCAGCTTTTTAAGCAGTCCAGATAAATAGATAACACTTTAACAACATTCTTCGGCACATTTCCGACATAAAGGAAGTTCAATCATGGTGTCCTCAGTGACTCAGATGCTGGGAGTCTATGGAGACTTTTATATCAGACATTGTATATCTCCAGATAACAGATATGGCGGACTGCCGTGGCTCATTTAGGGTTGTATCTATGCTAATATGGCTCTTACGTAAGAGTAGCGGGAAATCTGGGACCACTCGTTTGGAAACTGGTAGTTTACACACACTGTGGACACATATCTGTGTTCAAACACCTTATAAAATTCAATTTTGCACAATAGGTCCCCTTTAAAAGGTCACAAAAAATTGTGTCCTTTTTTGTGATTTTATTTAATAGATGCACCATGTATTACTGATCTTTGTTGTGGCAGGAGCAAAGTGTGAGGCGAACACATTTGACGGCGAGCGCTGTCTGTACGGAGCGCTGAGCGACCCCATCCGCCGCCTGCTCAAAGAGTACAAGCGCATCACAGCGAAGGCCATGCAGAGAGACTACTACGACCAGTTCCTGCAGACGTGAGGACTATAAACGCATACGTACAAATAAAAGCCCAAACCACCAGTCACTTTCACAAACTGACTGGTGCTTTTCCCCATCATAGGCTTTTGGAGCAGGGCAACTACAGTGACGTGACGTTTATGGTGCACGGTGAGATGTTCAAGGCCCACCGATGTATCTTGAGTGCCCGATCTGAATACTTCGCTCACATGCTGGAGACCAAGTGGAAGGGCAAGAGTGCGATCGCACTCAAACATCCACTGGTAGGCGCTGTTTGACTGCACACAAAATCCAAATTGTGTTCATCCGGATACTATTCATCCTTCCTGGAGCAGGGTTATTATAGATTAAGTCAAGTCAAGTCACATTTATTTATATAGCGCTTTTCACAATACAGATTGTATCAAAGCAGCTTCACACTAATAACATGAAAGTAGCACAACACAGATCAACAACATTGCTAAACACTAAATAATCCCAACTGAGCAAGCTCAAGATTACTACACTAAACTAACTTAAACTACAACCATAAAGACAAGTGTTACTTCAAATAAACGTTAGATGAAATAAAATTAAATATGTATGTATATATAACTATTTCAGCTATTTGCCAAGGCATTAGTTTAGTTTAACTTGATGTACTCAAATAATTAAAAATAATAATAATAATTAAATATATAGACATTTAAAAATTGACACAAAAAAAATACACACAAAAAAAATCTAAAACTTTGTCTGAAATTAAAATGAAAACAGATTTTTAAAAAAAATAAAACTGATTCAAAATAATAATAAAAACTTTAATAGTATCTCAATGATACTAAAATAACACTGGCCTGTGAGATCATGTCAAATGTGCTCTAATTATCCATACCACTGCACTCTTTCATACCTTTATGAAAAGTATATGTGTAATAAAAGTATATGTAAATTTGGAAGTCGTACCACCTTCTCTTATCATTTAGTATTAAACATGAAAGTGTATGTTCATAGTTTTTTCAGAAAGTGTGCTTTAATTTTTAATTTCTTGTGCTGCTTTAATTATCTTCTCCCTAGGGTTGTGTTAAATTAAGAAGCTCTCTTATAACCTTTTACATCACCGGCATGCTTCAAACTTTTATGATCCTAATGTGTCCATTTCAATTTCTTCTTTTTTTTATTTCCAGGTCAATCCTGCTGCATTTGGTGCAATCATGCAGTATTTCTACACTGGTGAGCGTCAGACCAAGACCGAGTTAAGTTAGCTATCTTCTGTCAGACAGTATTTTTTTCCTCACCCTGTGCTGTTTTTCTTTTTCAGGCCGTTTGGACATAGATGTGAATTACGTGGAGGATTGCAAGCGTTTGGCGAAACAGTGCAAGATCAGCGAGCTGATTGAGGAGCTGGAAGTGAAGTGCAAACAGGTTTATGAGTTCGGTGAGGAACCAGTCTAGTCAACACACCGGTGAAACTGTTATTGAAACTCGTGCATTAAAGTAACTATTGTACAGTCAAGCTGTCATTTTGAACTGGTAAGATTTTAAATGTTTTTGAAAGAAATCTCTGCTCTAATACATTAAATAATGTTAATATATTGAACCTTATTTAACAGTTAAAAGAGTGTAATAATAGCAGTATATTTTTTTTTAATCAGCACAAAATAATTTTTAGTTTTTTTGCATTTTTGTATATTTTTTGTGCAAAAAATTTTTTTAATTTCAGGCCTTTTTTTTTTTTTTTTACTGTTTAGTTATGATTGGGTAAATCTGTTTGAACAACACTCTCTCTATCTCTGTCAGTGTCTAATAAGCCCGGGACGTGTGTGAAGGTGTTGACTCTGGATCCTCATGACTCTCAGCTGCAGGATGGAATGGCTCTGCTGGCTGACAGTGCACTTCCTGCTGAGCTCAGGGTGAGAGGAAGCGCACACACACGCTTACCTTTATTAGGAATTCAGCTCTCACGTTGAACACCTATACGCTGATTTCACGCAGCCGTTATTTTGAAATCGAAAGCGAGGCTCCGGTGGGAAGAAAACCGGAAGTGTCGCCTTCCTCATCACAGGAATAAATTAAAAAAATTTTAAAATTTTCAAAAAGAAAACAGTTTATATATTATAATATTTCACAATATCATTGTTTTTTTTCCTGTATTTTTTAGGGCTGTCAAACGATTAATCGCATCCACAATATAAGTTTGTGTTTACATAATATATGTGGGTGCACTGTGTATAATTATTTTGTATATATGAAGAGTTCAGATGCAAAAGCCTCTAAGTGCCATTTGAAATTTTCTTCTAGAATGATGATTTTTATCAAGCTTGTATATTTAAGTTCAGTGATTTCACTTAAATGGCAATGATAATTACCTATTAATTGTTATGTAAGTGAAATTACTGCACTTAAATATACAAGTTTGATAAAAATCATCATTAAAGAAGAAAATTTCAAATGGCATTTAGAGGCTTTTGCATCTGAACTCTTCATATATAAATACACACACATGCATGTATATTTAAGAAAAAAAAAAATTTTATATATAAAATATTTATGTTTATATATAATATAAATTATATATAAATCTATATACATAAAAATATTTCTTAAATATATACAAGCATAATTATACATAGTGCACACACATATATTATGTAAACACAAACTTTTATTTTGGATGCGATTAATCGTTTGACAGCCCTAGTATTTTTTGATCAAATAAATTCAGCCTTCTTCTTTTCTTTCTTTTTCTTCTCTTTCTTCCCGACCACATTTGAACGGTCTTGTTTATAAGTGTGCAAGAATGTTGAGCTGCAGTATTACAGACTAAATTCACTCCTTGTTTATAAAAAAGTACAATTTTCACATGTAGATTATTTCTAAACTGCTTGCAGTGATATTTTGTTTTGTGATGTTCATCACCGATTAAAACTGCTGCTGTGTGATTTTTAGGTTGGATACGGTCAGCTTCCTTTCGATCTAACTGACAGTTTTCCGAGTTATCCTGATATCTGTTTCCGAGTGGAGGGCAATGACTTCCTGTGTCATAAGGTCAGAGTTTGGTAATACTGATAATCATAATATCTGGTTGTTGTTTTTGCAATGGCATTAGTTGCAACCCAAATGCAAATGAAGACATCAGTGTAATGTCTGTGTTTGGGTATATTTTTAATCATTTAGAATCGATTATTAGATTGACAGTTGTGCTCTAATATTCTATTTGTGGTTGATTAAAAAGGGCATTTCTGCAGATTAAACGTGTGTGTGTGTGTGTGTGTGTGTACACAGGCGTTTTTCTGTGGTCGTAGTGATTATTTTAAAGCGCTGATGGAGGATCATTTCTGCGAGGGTGAAACTCTACAGGCTCATCCCAGTATTCCCGTCATAACCCTTCACGATGTGTCTCACGATTTGTTTACAAGAATCCTTTACTACATCTACAGTGACAACACTCAGGTATACACAAACATAAACTCTGCATTCAATCAAGACATGTCTCAACAGATGCTGAACATTTTCTATTTACCGAACGCTTCCAAATACAAGTCTAGAGTAGTTCTAGCATTAAACAAACTGATATTTATTAGTGTTGTTATCATTAACTAAAACAAATAAATTAAAATAGAAATATTATATATGAAAACCTTTGGAAGACTTTGGCAACTAACTGAAGGTGTAAGTTGTACTAAAATGACTAAAAATGAGTTAAAGCTAAATATAAATAAATATATTTATTTACAAAAGCACAACTCGCATAATAAACACTGAAATACATGGATGCGAATGTTTTGATGTCACCACCGGGCAATAGTTTTTTTTTTAATACAGTGTATTGTACATGTAAATTGGGTTATTTCAATAAACTGATTTTTGGAGTGATCACCATATTATTATGCATGTAAACGTGCTCTCAAAAAATACAGAAAAATAACAAAGTACAATACACAGACCAAGAGCTGAAGATTAATATTAAGAGAAAAATGTGTTTTTAAGAGGTTTTTGAAAGAAAGAAGGGAGGATGCTTGACGTATGTCTTGAGGTTGAGCATTACACAACCTGGGAGATGTAACACTAAAAGATCTGGCACCCATAGGGACCTGACTAAATTTAGGAGTCATTAAGAATCCCGCACTAGAAGATCTTAAGGAACGAACAGGGGCATAAGGTTGAAATAAATCAGATGAAGGACCAAGGTTATGACGAGCTTTGTGCGTGAGGGCTAGTACCTTGAAGTTTATACGTACGGAAACCAGAAGAACTGGAGTAATGTGCTCGTTCTTTCTTGTGACTGACTGACTGAGTGACTCACTGACTGTCTGACTCACTGACTGGCTGACTGACTCACTGATTGACTGACTGACTCACTGACTGACTGATCACTTTCAACTCTTTCAACTGACTGACTGACTGACTGACTCACTCACTGACTGACTAACTGACTGGCTGACTGACTCACTCACTCACTCACTGATTGACTGACTGACTGACTGACTGACTGACTGTCTGACTCACTGACTGGCTGACTGACTCACTGATTGACTGACTGACTCACTGACTGACTGATCACTTTCAACTCTTTCAACTGACTGACTGACTGACTGACTGACTGACTGACCGAATGACTGACTGACTCACTCACTGACTGACTGACTGACTGACTGACTGACTGACTGACTAACTGACTGGCTGACTGACTCACTCACTCACTCACTCACTGATTGACTGCATGACTGACTGACTGACTGACTAACTGACTGACTCACTGACTGTCTGTCTGACTCACTCACTCACTCACTCACTGATTGACTGACTGACTCACTGACTGACTGATCACTTTCAACTCTTTCAACTGACTGACTGACTGACTGACCGAATGACTGACTGACTGACTGACTGACTGACTGACTGACTCACTGACTGACTGACTGAGTGACTGAATGACTGACTGACTGATTGACTTAGTGATCAAATGACTGACTGACTCACTGACTGACTGACTGACTGACTGAGTGACCAAATGACTGACTGATTGACTGACTGACTGACTGACTGACTGATCACTTTCAACTCTTTCAACTGACTGACTGACTGACTGACTCACTCACTGACTGACTGACTGACCGAATGACTGACTGACTCACTCACTCACTGACTGACTGACTGACTGACTAACTGACTGGCTGACTGACTCACTCACTCACTCACTGATTGACTAACTGACTGACTGACTGACTGACTAACTGACTGACTCACTGACTGTCTGACTCACTCACTCACTCACTGATTGACTGACTGACTCACTGACTGACTGATCACTTTCAACTCTTTCAACTGACTGACTGACTGACCGAATGACTGACTGACTGACTGACTGACTGACTCACTGACTGACTGACTGAGTGACCGAATGACTGACTGACTGATTGACTTAGTGATCAAATGACTGACTGACTCACTCACTGACTGACTGACCGAATGACTGACTGATTGACTGACTGAATGACTGACTGATCACTTTCAACTCTTTCAACTGACTGACTGACTGACTGACCGAATGACTGACTGACTCACTCACTGACTGACTGACTGACTGACCGAATGACTGACTGACTCACTCACTGACTGACTGACTGACTGACTGACTAACTGACTGACTCACTGACTGTCTGACTCACTGACTGGCTGACTGACTCACTCACTCACTCACTCACTCACTCACTGATTGACTGACTGACTCACTGACTGACTGATCACTTTCAACTCTTTCAACTGACTGACTGACTCACTGACTGACTGACCAAATGACTGACTGACTGACTCACTGACTGACTGACTGAGTGACCGAATGACTGACTGACTGATTGACTTAGTGATCAAATGACTGACTGACTCACTCACTGACTGACTGAGTGACCGAATGACTGACTGACTCACTCACTGACTGACTGACTGACTGACTGACTGGCTGACTAACTGAGAGACCGAATGACTGACTGACTCACTCACTGACTGACTGAGTGACCGAATGACTCACTGACTGACTGACTGACTGAGTGACCAAATGACTGACTGACTCACTCACTGACTGGCTGACTGACTGTCTGAGTGACCGAATAACTGACTGACTCACTCACTGACTGACTGACTGACTGACTGACTGACTGACTGACTGAGTGACCGAATGACTGACTGACTGGCTGACTGAGTGACTGACTCACTCACTGACTGACTGACTGACTGGCTGACTAACTGAGAGACCGAATGACTGACTGACTCACTCACTGACTGACTGACTGAGTGACCGAATGACTCACTGACTGACTGAGTGACCAAATGACTGACTGACTCACTTACTGACTGGCTGACTGAATGACTGACTGAGTGACCGAATAACTGACTGACTCACTCACTGACTGACTGACTGACTGACAGACTGAGTGACCGAATGACTGACTGACTCACTCACTGACTGGCTGACTGACTGACTGACTGAGTGACCGAATGACTGACTGACTCACTCACTGACTGGCTGACTGACTGACTGACTGTCTCACTCACTGTCTCACTCACTGAGTGACCGAATGAGTGACTGACTGGCTGACTGACTGACTGACTGTCTCACTCACTGACTCACTCACTGAGTGACCGAATGAGTGACTGACTGACTGACTCACTCACTCACTCAATTACTTAATCCCACACTGGGGAAATTCCTTTACTACAGCAGCTCCACACAAAAAAATAACAAGTATGGAAAAAAACATTGAATAAAAAAATATGGTTGTAATAGATATAATAAGTGCCTACATAGTGTTGTTGCTGCAATTAAAGAGTCTAATTGCTGTGTTAAGGAAGGACCAGCGGTACCCCCGTTTTGTCTTGAGTTAAATTTAAGGTGATTTGCCTTCAGCCAAAGCTTAAGTTCCTTTCCTTTCTAATTGAATTGTAAACCCAGAGGAGATGGAAACACTCTCACCTTAACCGCCATAATATACACTCTCTTTAAAGTTCTTTTAAGACAAGCCATATCATTTAGATGCTAATAATTCCCCTGACAACAATGGTATCATAAATTGTACTTGTTTAGCTGAAATCATGTTAAACAGCTTCATAAAGGCCTCAGTGTCAGATGTGCTAGTGAAGTGATGAGCTCTGTCACTGTTTTCCAGCTCTCTCATGAGAACGTGTATGAGGTTCTGTGTGTGGCCGACATGTACCTGTTGCCGGGTCTGAAGCGTCTGTGTGGCAGAACCCTGGCTGCGCTGCTCAATGAGGAGAACGTGCTGCACATGTGGAAGACTGCAGAACTGTTCCGGCTCTCGCGTCTGGAGGACCAGTGCACAGAATACATGGCCAAGATCATAGAGCGGGTACGTCACGTACAGCAGCTGTGTGCTGTGTGTTTGTTCACGGTTATGCTGTGTTTATGCTTATCAGAATTCACATTATTTACATTCATAATGAATGTCCCTGGTGTTATTGTGGCCCGCTCATCCATTTTAATATTATTAAAAAATTATATCAATATTTTTTAAATTAATATAAAAATAAATGATATAATGCAAAATAATAATTTATTTTCAATAATTATACATTTATATGAAAATATTTTGTAATATTATTATAAAACATTTGGAAATATAAAAATAAATGTAGTATAGAAATAATAATAATGTATGTTTATATATTTATAATGCATAATATCATTATAAAAAAATTATTATAAAATTAGTTATTTAATATACAAATAATATTTATATAATATTAAACAAAATTTATTGTATTTTTAAATATAAATAAAAATTCTATTTTATTATAATATATTAAATATTTTATATAAATACAAATTTAAATTACATTTAAAAATATATTCAATATAACTATATAAAAGTATTTTGAAATATAAAAAATTTATTATTTAAAATACAAATAATTTTTATAAATATACATTTGTAGTTATATATATATGTATTATGTTATATATTTATGTTATTATAACATTTTTATAAAATGTAAATATAAAAAATAAATATAATATTTTATATTAAATTTATATTATTTGTTAATAAAGAATAATTTATTTTATACAAATTTTTTTTTTTTACATAAATATATATATATTTTTGTGTAACTACTTCCACCTGATGGATAAAATTAAGTCCCGCTTAAGTTAAATGTGTTATGAATGTTATTTTTGAACTATTTTCAAATGAATAAATCCTGATGATACCATTTATACTCAGGATTAAATTCAGTTTCTTAAAACTGTTTTCTGCCTTAGCAGCCATATTATTAAACATTTGCATATGCATTTTTGGAAGGTTTTGCTCAGAAAGGAAGTCATGTTTGTTTCAGCTGGTGGAAAGGCCAGAGTTTGCCGATATGATCAGAGAGGATGCTGGGAACGTGGCGGCCAGACAGGAAACTGATTCCATCCCTCTGGTGGACGAGATCCGGTTCCACATCGCCAGTAACGTTCAGACGTACAGCGAAATCGAGGAAGCCAACCAGAAACTCAGTTGCCTGGAGCTTCTGCTGGCCAGCATTGGGCTGGAGTGCTGAAAAACAAGAAGGAGGTCGAGAGGGAGGGAGCGGGGCGCTGAATGATTTATAAAATGCTTTACATGCACAAATAATCTGTAGCAAACTAGCATCACATTAGCAGTACCAAACAAATATGGTCGATTCTAACCAAAAACATGCAGATGCGTCATATCGCAGTGGCCTGTTGTGATTTAGTGAAATTTGCTTTATTTAGTCCTTTATTCCACTTGTTTTCCATGCACAAACTTACTCCAGAGAGATAAAAGCTTGACATTTGGATTTTCACGATAGTGAGTGTTGTGTTTCAGTTAATATTGGCGCTCTTCATGATGTTCAGGCATATACTGTTCATTCTTCCATGTAGCAGAATATTTAACAAACTCTACAGGAAAATTGTTGTGGATGCAGAGTCAAAACGATATTAAATAATTAATAGGTTTAGCTGTTACATTGCTGAACATGAATTGAGTCAATATTTAATCAAAGATGAGGCCATTTCTTTTGGAAAAAAAATATGTATTTACATGCATTTATGAATAGGAGTGCATCGAACATGGTCGGAAGAATTTGAAAGGTATTGTCATGATGCATATTTGATCCGAGAATTGAATTACAAATGGATTTCACTTGTTATCTCTGGTGTTTGTGTGACAGCGCCATTTGTTAAAGCAAATGATTATTAATGCCTCTAAATGTGCGTTCACTTCACTCACAAATGTATCTTCCAGCACTGACAGAGAAGTTTCTCTGCTTTGCACACACAGGAAAGACTTCTGCTAATGTGCACGCAATATTTGCATTTAATATCAATATTATAATCAGGAAACATGCTCCTAAACCTGACTGTCCTTAATCTTTCTCAATATAAACATTTTTGGCTTGTTCTTTTCTTTTCCCTGCATTGCTTTTATTTTATTTTATTTTATTTATTCTATTTTATGCAAGTGACATGTCTACACGATGTGGTTGAAATCATCAGCGTTATCCTTTGCTCGTTTTCATAGCAGCACTTGAGTTTGTGTGTGTGTATGTTACTGAACTGGGTGCTCAGGAGAATATCCCACAAATGAGACTTGTGTATGAACATTCATAAATGTCAAAGTCATGAAATATCCATTTATGATTGGATGCGTTGGCATTGCAATTTCCTTTCATATGATTTATGGGTGGGATGTTGTGACTGAATGGGATTGTACATAGGTGAGAAAAAATAAATATTATTTAATAATGTATTACTTTTGGCTGTTTGATTCGACTTTACAAATGTATTTCTTTGCATACTGAAATCTGAAATCGCATACTTCCCTATACTATATAGTTGGTAATAAATTGAAATCTGTTAACATGAACTAACAATGAACAATACTTTTACAGCATTCATTAATCTCAACATTTACTAAAACATTTTTAAGATCAAAAGTTGCATGTGTTAACATTAGTAAATGCTCTGTGAACTAACTAACGTGAACAGTACATTTTTTATCAACTAACATTAACAATGGTCAATAAATGCTGTATTTAAATATAATAGCCCACTCATTGTTAGGTAATTCATTAAGTAATATTAACATATTAGACCTTATTGTGTAAAGGGTTATATTTATATATTTTGAATTATATTATATTTTTACAATATTTCTTAATTTTTATGTCAAGATTTATTGATTTTTGTCCTGCAGGAGGCGCTAAGTATTAGTGCAGGACTCAAACAAGGATTATAATTTCACTGAAGGACAAGCGTTATTTTAAACGATAACTTTTAGACATATTGTCTGGTTCGTATCACGTATATGTTATATAAAGCGTCGTATCAAATGTTTCGTAACGGAATGTCTTTTTAATCTGCTCATGATAAATACATATCTTTAACGCATTTGTTTTTGTATAGTGCGTTTAAAACTATCAGGGACGAAATGTGGAGATAGCATATAGAACAACATGGAAATTGTCCCTTGCCATTTATTATAGCTTATAAACCTCGGAAAACCCATTTAAAATTCTCGTTTGCTGGAGTTTACTTGTGAAAGGACGGCGCGAAGCTTCATGTTTCTCCAGGCAACAGGAGGCAAAATTACCATGACAACCGACTCTGTGATGGATGAAGGCCTATCAGAGCAGCATTGCGTTTCTCTGACATCTATCATATATGAACTGTGTGTGTTTGTGTGACTCAGATCCCTGAGTCACACTCGATAGAGACATGCCATGAATCTGAATCTGTAACTAACCAGGCAGCGGTGAGGATACCAACTAATGTTGGTCTGAAGTGATCTCACTCACCACTCGGTTTAAACCATAGAGGTTTAAACCTACACCCACGAAGATCTCAGAACCGGTACAACTCCCACTACACACAGCACTCGCAGATGTACAGCCAGATCTGATGATGTAATCTCCCATCAAGTGTTTTGATCAGGAGGAACAATAAAACACCAAACTCTAGACAAGCTGAAGAAGGCCATGCTTTGTAAAATATGCTTTTTTGGTATCTTGGCATACGGTATAAACTAAAGTTTGATGTTGACCTGGCAAAGCCAGGTCTGAAAGTTTAAAATAACTTTAAACAGCTTGACGGCTTTAGCATATTGTTAGCATGATTTAGCATGTTGCTAGCATGTTTTACCACATTGTTAGCATGATTAAGCACTTTGTTAGTGTGCATTAGGGATGCGCGGTATACCGGTATTGCAAAAATACCGGTATATAATACATTTCAAACGGTGCAATATCATCATTTTGTTAAATTCGGTATTTGATGAGCTGCTGTTCCGAAGTTCTCCACTAGGTGGCAGTGCGCTACCGAAACTGACGCGAGTCACGCGAAACCGGCAAATGAAGGAACACGGTGGAAATTAAGCTCTTTCGGATTTCTACACGCCCGAAATTAATAAATAGAGAGAGCAGTATGAGTGAAAGAAGGCATTACTTTGCCTACTAAATTAATGAGAATAGTACCTATAGAAACAGACCTCAATGCACCACTTTGCAAACTTTGCTTTCAATAATGTGTTGCCATGGAATGCAACACATCAAATCTGTCAAAGTGCTCGTCAGTTGCTCATCCTGACTTGTTTAAGAGATCAACTGGTGAGTTCATCATTCAACTGATTTAATTTAGACTTTTATTGAACACTGAACAGCGCACATACATAAGAGCTTATCAATTAAATATGATACGGTAAACACGAAAGCTCAAATCTTCTTGCATGACACGCTAGAACCAATTCAGTTACCGTCTCATGATCTCATAATTTTTGCTGTTTCAAACAAATATATTCATTTGATTTGAATTAATAAAGCATAAAAGTAATAGTAAAATGAATGGCATTACTGCCGCTGTGGCGACCCATAGAGAGAGAGAGATGGTAATATAAATATTAATAATATTAGCCTACAATTAAGCTACATTTGTCAACATTCACTAAGGAACCTGGCCTAACAATATAGCATTGATTAATCTAGATCAATCAGTAATAAAATGACCTAAAAATGTAATATCCTAATAAATGTTTAGCATCATAACATTACTTTTTGCAATGCATTATATGCATAATATGAACCCAAACACAAACAGTAACCAAACCAAGATGAAAAAATGCAATAAATGTTGATAATTCTTTGTTGATGCATGACAGCTAATGGTTTTCGTCATTTCATTATTCTATTATGTTAATCTATTATTATAGATATTAATTTTAATTGTAGAATATCAGTGGTTTTTTTTTTCAAAATTTTCAAAATCAAAATTTTACCTACACATAATTTGTTTATTTTTTAAATTTTGATATGTTTTTTATTTGGATACTTTTCTTTGCACATATGGTAGTTGAGAGTTTCAAGCAGTGTTTAATAAAATTGTTTCAATTCACTTAAATTTAGACTTTTTTTTCCGACTGTGGTATCGATTTAGTATCGATACCGAGGTATTAGGTTCTGGTATCGTATCGAAGCCAAAATTGTGGTATCGAGCCATCCCTAGTGTGCATTAGCATTCTTCTAGCATGAAAAAAGTAGGTTTTAGCACATTGCTAACATGTACAGTAGGCTATTATGTTTCTAACATGAATGAGCATGTTGTACGCATGATTTAACATGTTGCTATCATGATTTACCTTATTGTTCCGAATATAAGACGACCCTGATTATAAGACGAATTATACGTTTTTTTTCCCAAGATTTAACTTTTGCTAAATACTTTTATTTTAAATACTGCATATTTTTCATATTTTTGTTTCAGCGAGGCATGCAAACACAGTCACATGTAAGCTTTTCTTTGACTGTTTGCGTTTTTTAAAGGGATAGTTGACTTTGAATATTAATTTTTGGTATGTTTTAGCTTAGCTTAAGGCCATCCAAGAGGTGTCTTTGTTTCTGCAGTAGTTTCAATTTTGATATTTTTAGGTCAAACCGTTCTTGTCTGTCAGTCATATGCAGGTCTGTGGTCACCACCTCAAAGAGCATGCACAGAGAAGTCCAAATTAAACATGATTTAATGACTCGTAAATGTAAGTAGCCTACACATTGATGGCCTAAGACTTCTCTGTGCATGCTCTTTGAGGTGGTGAGTGACCATTGATCACTCAATGTTACTATTAAATAGCCTACTAATGCGGCATATCGTTACCAACAAAAGTATTGTTTAGCATAAAACATGTTGAAGATTAGCGAACAGGCTGTTGATTACTCAAATGATAAGGTTTTTTTCTCACAAAAGCAGTTTATTCAACCTCTTCTCCATTGACATCCATTCATAAAAAATGGCCTCTGCTCTCCTTTCCCGCGTAGCCTACATGCGTTAGCATTAGCCGTTACGCTCTTTTGGCTGAAGAAGGTTGCAGGCTTGTTATCTAGTGGCTTTGAGTACGAGTTAGCATGTTGCTAGCATGTTTTAGAATGCTGTTAACATGAATTACCACGTTGCTAGCATTATTTAGCGTTTAGGTAACATGAATTAGCATGTTGCTAGCAACATTTTACAATATATTCAAATAGAAAACAGTTATTTTAAATTATAATAATATTCCACAATATTACTGTTTTTATTGTATTTTTAATGTGTTTTAGTATTTTTGATCTTGTAAGAGAAAATCATTTTTTTTAAATCTTACAGACCCAAAACTTTTGAACGGTAAACACTAAACAGTGTATGTGGTATTCTTCATTTTTAGGAGTTTTAATTTGTCCAAACACTTCTTGGAATCACTGATCAAAGCAGGATTGTAGATTGGGTTTCTCTAAGCCTGCAAGAGTATTTGTCTCAGCTGAAGTTTCCCTTGCACAAAATAACCATGGTAACCATTTTTTCTGCCAAAAGGAAAGGAGAATGGCATGCAGGTCAAAGTCTGACAAGTAGGCAAATATCCTACTCAGATATTAAACAAATATATTCAGTGTTGCATGTATGTTCTCCAGCAGTTTAGTGTGGGTTATATAAACAATGGCCATGTTAATTTAACACCGGGAGTTTTGCTGTGATATTGATGTTTCCACGGGCAGAAAACTGAGCATTCAGAGCGTCACATTGTTTTCCACAAGTAATCTTTTCAACTAATCTTATAGTGGAAATCATTCAGCGTTATTATAAATATCAAGTCACTCAATAAAATTCGGTGGGTCAAAAACAGTCCAAAGTAGCACATATGTACACACATTTTCATTTACAACTAGTTTTAACATGTTAATTTTCTGTTTTATAGGTTTAATCACGCATCTGTACCCCTGGGATTCACTTATTGAGAGTGTTTCCAAGAATGAGGCCTATTTCCTGCTGCGATCACAGCATTGTTGGAAAATTGGTATGGCTTAGTTCTCCTGCATTGTTTAAATCAAGAGTAGCATGTGTAGGTCATGTGTACACTCTTAGAAAAAAGGTTTAGTGTGGTTTGAAATAGAACTCAAGGGTTCTTAACTCAATTTTAAAAGTTCTATATAAGGAAAAAACTTCTCAAAAGGGTCCTGTTATTCTTTTTACATTTTCAACATTCTTTAGTGTGTAATGTTCCTGCTTGAGCACGAGTTACAAAAAAAGTTACAAAGCACAAAGTCACCATATTCCTCGAATTATTCCCTCATTCACAAAAAAAGGGGCGTGGCCTGATCGAGTTGAGTAGTTGCTGCCTGCATCCCAATTTGCATATCCGTCCTAAACATATAGAGTCCTAAATAACATCCTAAATGAGAATTAGTGTGTCCCAAACCGTAGTATTTTGAAATTAGTATTCCAAAGATATGG